AAAAAAAAAAAAAAAAAAAAAAAAAAAAAAATCAAACAGAAATAAACAAAATAAAACTATTGTAGCAGCTAAGTCCATTGGCTAACATAAGGATTAATTTTCTTCAATTGCCATAAATGAAAAAGAATCAATTTTCAAGTTTGTAGCTATCGCGCTGTAGTAATTGACGCATTTGTCCTCTAATTAAATTACTTTATAGATTTAATAATAATTATAGATATGATGAATGACGAATTGTAGATGGTACGTAAATATAGGAAAATGTTATGGTCTCGTTACGGAACCATTATGTTGGGATTTGTAATCGTTAGATCATCATATAACTGTCGATAATAGTTGTTCTATCAGTTATAAACTCCGACGCAATGATTTCGTAACGAGGCTGTATCATCTCTTCGTAAATATATTAAAATAAAATGGGACTGTATCATCTCTCCGTAAATATATTAAAATAAAGCAGTCACGTTCTTTTTTAGTTTTTTACCAAACTAAAAGCTGTAAAATCGTATTAGTTATCATTGTTGGGGTGGACTTTGAGTCAAGAATGAGACAATTATTAGAAACATGAGTTATGAACCAAATTATATGAAAAATACCATGCTTATTAAATAAATGTAAAATCAATTGAACTTATTTGTGAAATTTGACAATAATTTATGGGAAAAAACAATGAACGCGCCAAAAATAATTTGTATCATCTATTTTTTTTGATAGACTGGCATCAATACAATTTTTCAAAGTATAAATGGGTCGATAGATCGATTTTTTCCTAAAAAGTATTATAAATTGGTTAATCGTTAGGCAGTGAATCCATCATATAATGAAAACAAAAATATACACATACATATATACGTAAGAGTATATGTATATCATAAAGTATGTGCTTTGAAAGTAAGTTGAATGTAATACCTAGTCTCTCATTTGTTATCATAAGAGTATGTGCTTGAAAATAAGTTGCATTATAATTTTTTGCATAAATAAATTAGATTTTTCAATATATATATATATATATATATATATATGAACCAAAACAAAGTTAGTCATAGACAAAATTTTAGTTTTCATATTACAAAATAAATGTATGTAGATAAAAAAAAGATACACAAAATCGTGTCATATCAATTTTAGAGCACCTGTAGTTACTTTAGTTTAAAATATATTTATCTATATTATATATATATATATATGTGTGTGTGTGTGTGTGTGTGTGTGTGTGTGTGTGTGTGTGTGTGTGTGTGTGTGTGACAATTGTGGACTTGTGGTGTGGACAAAAGTAATAATAAATTAAGAAACGTTAAACTCTATAAAAACATTAGAGTGAATTATTATTGTAAAAATAAAACCGAAAAAAAAAGTACAATCAGATGGTAAAAATTAGAATCAAATGGGTAATAATTAAAATAATTAATTAGCTAATAAAACGTGACAGATTAGGCGATGACATCACCTCGTCACGCCAATACCATTTAGTAGTAAATAAATAAATTAAATGAGCCATAGATATTCAAGTTAGGGGAACTATTTCGTTGAGATTTATAGATCGTTAGATACACATTTATATTAGTTAACATTTGTATTTAACGGTTACAAATCTCAATGGAATAGTTCCGTAACGGAATTGTACCATTTTCTTTAACTATGACCGTCGTATAAAATTACTAAAACAGTCAAATTTTATGGTTAATTAAGTCAAATGCCCCTTTAAATTTTCTTATTTATTTTATAAATGTTGGTTGAGGTGCCATTATATATGGTTTTCTAATGCGACATTAATTTCATTTCATATATAGGCAATAAAATGCGAGTGCAGAAGAAAGGAGATTCGAAATAGATTAAAATACTATATTTAATAGTTAATGCTTTTTTTTTTTAATCGCCATTATTGTTGTTCACTATATGATGGAGAAAGCTATGTTTTGCCAAACATCAAATAGGAAATGAGGGCTCAAATAAAAAAACAATAAGAACGAAATAGAATGTAATACAATAATAAAGAAAATATAAAAGGCTGTCCGTGATTGGACACCGACGTTAAAGATGGACATTGTGTCAAGTAACGTTTAATTGTAGGAAAAGGCTATATTATGGAACCATTGGTCGAGATTTGTAACTATTAGATTATCATGTAACTGTCGTGGATAGTTGATTTAACAGTTACAAACTCTGACAGAGTAGTTCCGTAATAGGACAATAGAATCTCCCTTAATTATATTGATATATAAGTACAATGCCGTTTTGAAACTGTAGGAAACCATTTCTCTCCTCATCTATACTTATATTAAAAGCTAACCTATTTACTAAAATTAGTAGCAAAAAAGTAGGTCAGCATTTAATGCAACTCATAAATAGTAATTTTATTATTTTTGTTATTGTTTTATTTAAAAATTATTCAATTTAATTTATAAATACGCTTTAATATAATCATACAATTCAATCATATATTCAACTTATAAAAATTATACATTTTATTTTTTTCTTTAAAAGTACGCTTTAATTTATATATATGTATATATATATATATGGTACTTTTTTGTAATAAATTTGAATAAAATGTGTTACTTAAATATCTAAACAATTTAAAAATTCAAATGTTTAAATTAATTGATTAACAATTTATAAAGCTCTATTTTATTTAATTTTATTTAAAATAGTTTTAAATATAGCAAAACTTATTTAGAAGATCGTATCGATCCTACGAGTTCAATCGACTGGTGTTGATTGATTCAATAGCTAATATTTTATTCAAGTGAACTAGACTGATTATAAACTGGTTCTCGGTTTATGCGATCGTACTGTGTTCAACACGGTTTAATTTTAAAACGATGGATAAATCTTGATTAATTTATTTGTATATTAAATTTATAACACAATCATAATATTGTTTTTCCGTGCATCGCACGGGCCACGTACTAGTATGTATATAGTTGGTTTTGCTATGAAACCAACGGTTAGCTCCATAATGGAGCCAACTTTCTTTTTACAACAAGTAAAC